TTTTTTATATTTTTTTTAGAGTTTAAGTAGGTTTTTTAAAATTCTTTTTATGTATTAGAATTTAACTTAATTCCTTTTTATATACTAGGCTTTGTTATTTAATCACCATATACTTTGAATGTTATCTCTTTTGGGGAAAAATATAGAATTTACAAATACTAGGTCCCAAGAAACATTTTCTGAATTGATTTAACAATGACCTTTTAAAGTACTCTGAGTACTGAGTTTTCAAGGTTTTGTGACTAATTTTTTTTTTTTAATAGCTTTTGATTTATTTGTAAGTAAATGCAGTTAAAAGACTATGACAAGGAACTAGATGGTGCTTGGCTACTACCACTGACCATTCTGATCACGGACACAACAGAAGGTCCCATATAGAATGGGAGAAAAATGAGTATGCAATTCAAGTTCCTAAAAAAGACTCTACTTACTAGACCGATAGAAACTAGAGGAACCTCTGAGACTATGCCTTAAGATAGTTTCAAACTTGGAACTGAAGTCACTTTTTACCAAATAACAGATTGGCTCATAAAAGAAACAATATCATCCATGAGTAATGTGCTCAAACAATCAACTATATGAGACCAAATGGTCAACATTTACTCAAAACCAAAGATGAGAAGACAAGGAGGGGCAGGAAAACTAGATCAATGGAAACACAACAAACAGAATGCAAATAACGAGAATTGACACATTGTAAAAATTGTAACCAATGTCATGGAGTAATATGCATAAAAATTGTTAAATGGGAAGCTAATTTGCTGTGTAAACTTTCATCTAAAATACAGTAAATAAAAATAATAAAAAGACTATGAAAATTGTTCTTGTAGATAAAATTTTATTGTGGTTTTCCTATTTTTACTTTTTTTAAAAATATAAATAATGGAAAATAGGTACTGAACATATAGTTTTAAAATTCAGTAATGCAAAAGTTGGTTGCATATACACCCTCAGTTGATACTGAGAAGGGATGGTGCGATTTCAAGTCCTGTGAGGAGCTCTGGTGGTGTACTGCCTAAGGCATTTGACTGCTAACCAGAAGGTTGGTGGTTCAAACCCGCCAGTCACTCTGCAGAAGGAAGACTGGGCAATCTACTTCCATAAAGATTTAACGCCTCAGAAACCCAAAGTGGGTTGCTATGAGTTGGAATCTACCAGATGGCAGTGAGTTTGGGTGTTTTGGTTTTTAGACATTTGTGTGGTATCCCTTGGTGACATAAATGAAGCATTCAATTACTAGCTGAAAGCTTGGTGGTTGGAGCCCACCCACAGGCTCCTCAGAAGACAGGCCTGGAGACCTGCTTCTGAAAGGTCGCAGCTGTGACACAGGGGGTCACCATGAGTCAGAATCCACTGGAGGGCAACCAACAAACACAGAAAATATATACAAAGAACAAAGGACTGTGTAAAATAATGAAGAATAAAACATCCTTCCTTCCTCTTGTTAAAACAACAACAGCCTTTCATGAGGCTGAGATGCTCTAGATTCTGATGTGAACAATTTCTATCACAGCTTGGATGATTTATAGAGTCATCTTGATCTAGCATAGAGAAAATTAATTTCAAAATTAATTTTGAGCCTCATTCAGATTCAGGTTCATGTTCAGCTGATACTGCTTTCACCTGCAGTGTCCAGTTTGCCCTTCACTGTCCTATTTGCAGGGAAATTCTCACAACGTCTTCTGTGCAGGGGAGCAAAGAGGGTCTCAGAGCCTTGCTGATAAATGGTAGAGAGCTGAAACTGGACTTTTTCAGAATCCAAGCCCACAGTTCTTTTCATTCCAGGTAACCTCCCTAAATGGCTTCACTATATATTCATACTTTAAGAGATCACACATCCCTCATATACATAAACTTTAAAAACTTTTAATGATGCATACAAAGTGTTGCATTGGTGTATATATTTGCAACAACAATAAATAAATAAATTGGAAAAAAGAACTTTTAATAATTTAATCTATGTACCATTTATAAAAAATGAATAACTCGTCTACAAAATGTCCTGAATAATCTTGTATTCAACAGATAAGTTCTTGGTAGGATGAAAGTAAACAAATAATTTTCTCCAGAAAGTAACAATTCCCTAGAAAAGTAAATAATTTCTCTCATCAAACATCTTAATTCACACTAGGAAGAAAGACCTGACAATCTACTTCTGAAAATCAGTTAATGAAAAGCTATGGATCACAATGGTCCGATCAACAACTCATCATGGAAATGGTCCAGGACTGGGCAGAGTTTGGTTCCACTGTACATGGAGTTGCCCTGAGTCTGGGCCCAACAAACTGCCACTAACAACAATGTCTTAACTAGTGTGCAAGAGTAATTGTCACCTCAAGGAAGGTCATCCAAAATGTATTCAGAGAAAATCTTCATTCATTCACAAAACTTACAGCTTTTTACATCCACCGGTGTTATTTAATTGGCTGCTTTGATGATTCATTGGCTTTGTTATTTAATTGGTGCAAGGTTTGAATAATAAATTCAATCAAAAACAACTCAAAGTCTTTAGGAATGTGCAAAGCAACCTTTATATATTTTTTGCCTTCTCTTTCTAAAAGAACTCAATTCCTTGATATGTAAGTGCTGAAACTAGTCCTATAACATATGATGTGCACATTCTCTTGCACTTTTGTTCTCGTGACATAAATGCTGCCAAGCATTTACTTCTCAGGTCTTTGTAAAGCATCACAGCCCCGTGGAACATAGAAAGCATCTCTTGTAGGAAGGAAAGAAACAAACGCTGCCTGAGACTCTGGCAGAGAACCATAAGAAGGGAACATACCTATTTTCCACAAAGTAGAATTCAAAACAGCCCTCCCCATAAGAAATTCAAACATATCATACAACATAAAACAAAGTAGCAAAAAAAAAAAAAAAAAAGGCAGGAAAGAGGTGCTGAGTTAAGCTTGACTACGTAAGTGTCCCTAGATGCCTGGTCTGAAGTGTATTTAGCAGTTTGATACATGCTTCACAATAGTTCAAGAGGGAAAGCAAGACCACAAATAGGCCCCCGGGTGCACAGAAGGGAAAAATGTGGCAAAGTTCTGTACTTTGCCTTCTGGGTAACGCATCTACCCCATCCAAGACCAATAGAAAATATTTCTAGCAGAAAAGTTCCCTGATCCTCATTATCAGAAATTCCAAATACTTTCTTGCTGCAGTTTAAGCCTATTTTCTCCTAAACAGCTTATCATTACCCCCACATTCCTTCATGTGTCTCTCACAAGGTTCCACCACACCTCTGATGCCCAAGAACTCCTTTCTCTTTTCTGCCTGTTCAAATTCTGCACAATCTAGCATTACTCACTACTGCTTAGAAGTATCACTCTTACTTCTTTCATTAGATTATGAAATTCTCAAGGTCAGGAACTATATTATCTATTTCCATATCCTCCATAGAAAACCCATGGAGGGGTCGCTATGAGTTGGATCTGACTCCACAGCAGTGTTTGCGTTGCGTTTTTTATAGTGCTTTGAACACAGTATATGCTCAATAAGTGTTTTTTTCATGGTCTGGTTTCTCTAGGGAAGTGTATCCATCCAGCGACCCATCTATTCATTCACTTGTTCATTAAACATTGGCTGAGAATCTACTGGTTCTGTCTGGGGAAGCACTAATGAAAGCCCTCCAAAAAACTCATTGCCATCAAGTTGGATCTGACTCATAGTGACCTCTCCTTGGGTTTCTGAGGCAGTATCATTACAGAAGTAGATTGCCCAGCCTTACTTCTGAGGAGTGGCTGGTGGGTTTGAACTGCTAGCCTTCTAATTAGTAGTAAATGCCTTAGGCACTATGCCACCAGAGTTACCAATGAAAACCCTAATTGCCAGCAATTGTTTCTGATTCCCACAATCCCCCCACTAATGTTTTCTGTGGTGAAGGGCAGCTAAGAGGTCTGTATTGCTCATACAAAGGTACTACACTACATTATCTTCAAGGCATGAAATAGCAAAAGGGGAAACCACCTTTAACACAATTTGCACTTTGACCACATGGATCTGGCTTATTATTCTACGCTAATACAATAGGGATAGGGCAGAGGAAAGAAGAAAAATGAAGAGAGATAAAAATGCTTGGGCACAAAGAGTGACTTACAAAGATGTTCCTTTCAGTGTTATTTAAACCAGGAAAAAAAATAAAAAGCTATGTTCCCGTTAGATAAATAGTGTTGTAGAAGAATTTATACAGATGTGTGGAAATGTATAAAGTACAGTGTGAAAACTGCAAATACAGGTATTGACAATGGAATGCTAGTTTTATTTAGAAAGTCACTGAAGGAAAATCTAGAAGGATAGACATCAAAGTATTAAAGGTGAGTGTATTCAAATGGCATTTTTTTTTTTTTTTTTTCCCCCCTAAAGGGAAAGGGAGACCAGGACGAGAATCATGCCCAAGCAGGAGAGTCTTCTGACAGAACAGCATCAGTGAAGGAGCTCAGTGTGTAACGGCAGGCTGAGACCCTGCCCACTCATCTCCCCGCTCAGTGCTCCCTGTGGAGACAGAGCTGATAAAGACGAGGAGCCCTGCTCTAAAGGCTGCTCTTCTGCCTTCCTTAGAAAGGAATATTAACAATGCACATGCATTTCTACCTGTCTCCCAACTACTGTCTCTTCAACTTTTGTTTCTTCATGTAGGAAAGATCAACAAACAGGTGTTGCCTTTTTTGCTCCCCTAAAGACCACAATTTTGTCAAGCAAGTCACAGACTTCTTAGTTAAACCAAATAATGCTAAGTTAAACCAAATTCCTCAAAGCAAGCAAATAGACAAACAAATCCAGAAGTAAAGCCCGTTCCCAATCAACTACATTAAGAATTTCTAAGCAATATTTACATGGTATTTAGAAGAGATGGGTGTATGGACGGGTGGAAAGTAGACTGAAAGCTACAGATAAAAACAGAGACAATACCCCACGCCTCCAAATGAGGGCACCACAAGAAACAGGTGAATTTACTGTGTTAGGGGTAGAGGGAAGGGTTGTCTGAGCAGAGGTCATACCTTGGTCTGGAATGTACAAAACATGTGCGTTAAAAATGGATGCTCCCAGGCCAATGAGAGGACTCTCTTCTCTACCATTGTACACTCCACATCGTCGTCCATCAAGACCACATCTTTCTTTAAGGCTTTTACTGCAAAAAATTGATTGGTTTTCTTGAACTCTGCTAGGAAGACCTAGAAGAAAGAGGAAGAAGTTAAGGCTTTTTTTTTTTTTTTTTAGAATTTGAATTCACATTCATTAAAGAGAGAGATTTTTCTCACATCTTCACCCCTTTTACTGAGACAAAATATAGAGCTTCACTTGTTTAGGACATTACTTAACAGTTTCCTACCATCTATCTGTGTTGTTCAACAGGTTTCAAAAATCACTATGCAAGGGGATGGGCTATTCCCAGGAAAATTTCATTTAATCATGTATGCTCTGACTGCTCAGGGACTCAAGTAATTCACAAAGACAGCTCACAAAAGGCAAGCAATGGAGAGGAGGAGATGGCTACAGCTGGAACCTTACTGGAAATGAGAACAAAACATAGCACTAAGTTTGACTCAATTTTGCAAGGAAAAAAAAAAAAATTCCTGAGCCATATAGTTCTTATGTACTTAACTTAAAGGAATTCCTAGGTAGTGCAAAAATAAGTCCTTAGCTGCTAACCGAAAAGTTAGTGGTTTGAGTCCACCCCAGTGGTGCCTCAGAAAAAAAGCCTGGTAATCTACATCCTCCAAATCCACCTCTGAAAACCCTATGGAGCACTGTTCCACTCTGACACATGAGGTAGCCATGAACCAGAAGTGACTCCATAGCCACTAACAACAACAATAAGAAGGATGTTAATAAAGTTAAACCAACAAGCCTTAGTATTACTCTAAGGGACAACCAGGAGCTTTGGATACTCTCTGCTGTATGTCTAAGGCAGGATAATCCTCTCCTTCAGGACCACATGTCCATATTGCCTGTGAGAACTGACTGTGAGGCCTGAGGAGGGGAGAATAAAGCACCCAAGAAAAATGACACCGTCTTATTTCTCTTTCTCATAACAATAAAAATCCTCCAAAACTTGTTTTTCTTTCTTTTTGACTCTGCATAAGAAGTATCGTTCCTTACCAAAATGGTATTCTTGTTCTCAATCTGTTTTTAAGCCCCAATAGCATGTTTTGTGGGAATATGCACATCATTCAATTGCCTGAATTTTCATCTATATTATTTTAAATCTAGACACATATGTTTTCAGTACTCTTTTAACATCATGGGCTGCACATTCTCTGAAAGTCGATAAAAGAAACAAATGACAAATGTTCTTGATAACTATCATTTGGAGTGCATTCTATAGTTTACAAATCATTTTCCCACATGGTATCTCATTTGATTCAAGCAGTTCTCTAAGTTAGGGTTTTCAAGACTGTGAGCTTTCCCGGCCTGTTTTCTGAGGTGCCACTGCGTGGGTTTGAACCTCCAAATTTTAGGCTAGTAATTGAATGCTTAGAGATTTGGGTCACCCAGGGACTCCTTCCTTCTTATTAACTTTGTTCAAATGTAGAAATCCACATGAGAACAGGGAAAGACAAACATTTCATTAACAATTTAAAGCACTCTTTTGGTAATTGCTTCTTTCAATAAAACATCCCAAAATCAGCCATAAACTAAAAAGCTGAAAAGGCAATTTCCATCTATATAATGTGCTTTCAATTTTTGGTAACAGGTTATAATTGCACATTAATTGATGCTAAATTACAATGAAGACTGGCTGTAAAATTGTCTATTACACTCAGATTAACACCAAATGAGCCTGCTGTGGTTAATATTATTGTGGAAATGAACTTAAAGAATTAATGGCTATCAGCTACAGTTTGCAGGGCAGAGTCGAATTTTCTGAAGGTGATGCACTGGTGTGTAAACCAAACCCCCAAGTGGAGCATAGTGTTACTCCCCTGTAGTAGATGCTCAGCTGCACTTTAGCTTATTATTAAATAAACTGGGTAAATTTTCCTGCCAAAGTCTGTTGAGCAGGTGCTAAATATAATGCTGGCTTTGGATGAACAAATTCATGGAAGAGTAATCTGGCTAAAATTTTCTAAGGAGTCACATCCAAACATATAAAGCAGTTGGGAGCATAATTAGTACATTAGATATCCTAACACCAAACAAAACCAAACCCACTGCCGTTGGATCTGACTCATAGCAACCACTCCTTGGGTTTACGAGGCAGTATCACTACGGAAGTAGATTGCCCAACCTTCCTTCCAAGGAGTGGCTGTTGGGTTTGAACCTCCAGCCTTCTGGTTAGCAGTCAAACAAAACAAAACCAAAACTGCTGTCGAGTTAGTTGATTTTGACTGATAGTGACCCCTCCTTGGGTTTCTGAGGCAGTATCACTATGGAAGTAGATTGCCCAACCTTCCTTCTGAGGAATGGCTGTTGGGTTTCAACTGCCAGCCTTCTGGTTAGCAGTCAAATGCCTTCGGCAATATGCCACCAAAGTTCCTTTAGGTTAGCTAAAATATCCTGAAAGTCTACATTCCATATATATCAGCCAGATAAAGTAAACATGAATTTACTTTAATGTACAAATTACCTTCACAACAACATCTAATGTTTGACTAACCAAGAGAGCTCCATAGCATGAGTAGCAACTGTGGTCTTGAAAGCTTTTGAGCAGCCATCTAAGATGCAACTATTGGTCTTGCCTCATCTGGGGCAAAGAAGAGTGAAGAAAATTAAAGACATATGGAAACAACTAGCCCAAGGGACTAATGAACCACAGGAACCTTCATGACCCAGATGGTACCTGGCTACCAGTGTCAAACATTCAGAAAGGGATCAAAATTGGAGATCCTGGAGAGAGATGGAGGAAAAATGTGGAACAAAATTCAAAAACACAAAAAAGAACTATTGATTGAATAGAGATTGATGAAACTCCCGAGAGTATGGCCCCAGGTTATCCTTTGGGCCTGGAACTGGTCTCACATCCATGGATTAGCTCTCAGCCAAACAATACAAAGGCCTATGAGCAGAACATCTACCTCAGGGAGGTGTACCCCTTAGAACAATCAACTATGAGAGATCAGAAAGGCAGCACTTGCATAGGAGGAAATCTAGACAGACAGGAGTGCATAGGTAAGAAGGACTTAGGGAAGGGGTAGTCAGAGGGAGGAGATGGGAGTACAACTGTTTGTTGTTGGGACTATAATCGGTGCTGTGAAACAAAATGTGTGAGAACCGTTGAGAGTAAAATGAATCTGCTTTGTAAATTTGCACTCAAATCACAATAGAAAATTAAAAAAGAGAGAAAGCACCATAGCCTAGTCAAGTTGATGCATAAAATTATCCATCACATCCTATCATCCCTCCTTAAAATCACTAGCTTGAAAATTTTCCGCAGTCACTGAGAGTTGATTATAATTTCTTAAATGTTGTCATCTTCTTCCTCCCCTTCTCTCTTCTCCTACTTCTCCCCTTGTCCCTCTCCTTCTCGTCCTCCTTCATTTGTCCTCTGTAACTGTCAAAGAGAACCTATGACATGAGTGTGTGGTAGGAAGAATTTAGGCAAGGGAATTTCTCAAGGAAACTACTTTGGACTCTCAAGCTACAATCTGAAGCTGTTTGAAGTGGGGGTGGGGATCATATACAAAGTAAAACAACACTCTGGGTTTGAGAAAGTAGAAGGAGAGGGAAAAAACAGGTGTGCGAATTAGGAAGTGACTTAGGCATTCCCATTCCTTTGATGTCTAAGAATATCAAACACAAAAGGGTATGGAATGTACACCTTCAAAGTAGAGTGTCTTTGGGGACAAGATCCCAGAAAGCAGAGGCTGCAATTGCCATAGAGTCTCCTGAGGTCCCTATTTATTCAGTCATCTCTCTATTCCTAAAATATTCAGCAATGCTCTTTCCACCTACACAGTTCTGGTCCCTATAAGTTTAGTTCCCTGGGCCAGAAATTCTGCTTTTCAATTTCTGGAATGTAGTCCATAGAATTATATAACATGGTATCATACCTTGCCAAAACTTCCTTTCCCCAACATTTTGTGTAAGATAAAATCCTCAATTTTCAGTTTCATATGTAGAGATGGTCTTTCTATGTTCAGTTCAGGTTCTGGAAGTTGGCACACTTTATCCCCCTCATCCATTGGAGAATCCCAGGAGATTCCTTGATGCTCTGAAAATGGCAAGCCAGTGGTTACAAGTAAACATGGAGTAATGGAGGACCATTCTAATTACCAGTCATACACTTTCTCTTCTACTTCCCTTTCTGAGGCTCTATCTGCCATGCATGGGTGGGGGACGGGGAGAAGGACTGCAAAGGAAGGCAGATTTAATGCCTTTCCATCTATCTGTAATGTCAGCATCTCCTGCCCATGATCCTGGCATTTGGGGTTGGACTATGTCTCTTTATATAGTCAATAGACTGGGAAATATTTCAACTTAACAACATTATTTCATGATGGAAAAATTTGGGGATGGAAAACAGTGATGGTTGAACAATATGTGAACATATATTAATGTCACTGAACTGTATATGTGAAGAATGTTGAGATGGCAAATGATCTGTGACAAACATATTTCCCAGAATAAAACTATAAAGGTAAAAAAGAAACATATTCCAATCAGTAGAAGATCATCTATGCAAAAGGAATGAGCACTTACAATGTGTCAAGTCATGGACAAATGGGAATTTTAAACAAATCTGAGGAAAAATGATTCTCAATTGTTCGTGTGACTCAAAGCCACAGTGGCATCAATTCCATGCCTTGCAATGTGAAGGAAGAGGAAAGATCTCAACCACATCATTCACCATTCAGCAGTCTTTTGATGAAGAGGAGCTCTGGTGGCATAGTGCCTAAGGCTGGCAGTTCAAACCTACCAGCCACTCCTCAGAAGGAAGGTTGGCCAATCTACTTCCATAGTGATACTGCCTTGGAAACCCAAGGAGGGGTCACTATGAGTCGGGTCCGACTCGACGGCACATCACAACAACAACAACAACAACTCTGAGACATGGTTTACTTCAAGAGACAGTTCCTCAACCTAACCCAAACTCTTCTTTTTAAATTAAGTCGATTTATTCTTTGTTCAATGCCAGAAGAGGTGTGTTGTTGTTGTTGTTATGTGCCGTGGAGTCAGCCCTGACTCATAGCGACCCCTCCTTGGGTTTCCAAGGCAGTATCACTACGGAAGCAGGATTGCCCAACCTTCCTTCCGAGGAGTGGCTGGTGGGTTTGAACCGCCAGCCTTCTGGTTAGAGTCAAGTGCCTTAGCCACTATGCTACCAGAGCTCCCAGAAGAGGTGTAGAAAAAAAAAAAAAAAAAAAAAAAAAAAATTAAGGGATGCTTACCCCTCTTATAATGCCCTAGTGGCACAGTGGTTAAAGTGCTTGGCTGCTAACTGGAAGGTCAGCAGTTTGAATTCACCAGCTGCTCCGTGGGAGAAAGTTGTGTCAGCCTGCTTCTGTAAAGATTACAATCTTGAAAACTCTGTAGGGCAGTTCCACTTTGTCCTATAGAGTCACCATGAGTTGGAATCCATGCCATAGCAACATTTTTGTTTTGTACCCCTCTTAAATAGTAGTTTTATTTTTTAATCCCTAGGTTTATTGTTTATACTGTTATTTTTAGATGTTGAGGTGGCGCCAACTCATGGTGACCTTATGTGTAATAGAACAAAGCATTGCCTGGTTCCATCTTCATGGGAGCTCTGGTGGCATAGTGCCTAAGGCATCTGATTGCTAGCCAGAAGGCTAGTGGTTCAAACCCACCAGCTACTCCCTGGAAGGAAGGTAGGGCAATCTACTTCTGTAGTGATATTGCCTTGGAAACCCAAGGAGGGGTTGTTATGAGTCAGACCTGACTCAACAGCAGCGGGGTTTTATCTTCATGATCATAGATATGTTTGAGTTGGTATGTTTGAGACTATCTTTCATAGTCTTCCTTAAACCCAGGAATATAAGTATTTTATAATGTATGTTGAAATTATCATGTTCCAGAGTCATGTGGTCATATTCTTTCAACAACAACTCTCAAAGTATAGATTGGATCAATTTCTATGATGTCATAAGATGTTACTAACTCTTGAGTCTGATATTCTTCTATTTTTCAGACTTAAACTTCTCAGAAAATTCTCAAAGGTGCAGACTAAGATTGCCTTCTATGATGTCCCATAATCATTATGGTAGACTCATTTCTATAGAACTATTTAACAGTGATAGAAAATAATATTCTAAAAATATTTGAACTTGATTCCTCCATTCCTACCCCATTTTCTTCCCCTCACCTCTACCTACCCCCCTTGACAAAAGTGTCCTAATGAGATATATTTTGATTTAATTTCTAAGAAGTAGGAGCCTCTTAGTTGATGGGTAGACCTGCAATTCTTAAATAAATAGAAAAGTCACCCATCAAACCAGGTAAATGGGGGATTTAAATCTTGAGAATTCAGATTAAGGTTAATGAAGATTAACTGACATTGACTCTACTGTGGATCACAACAGCTACCTCTTTTCCCCGGTGCTGGTAATTGTGGCAACCTTGTTTCATCTTTCATGGAGTGTGGGAGACCAATTTCAACTGGACCTTCTCTGCAGATATGCTCAGTGTCTCTTAAGCAGCGAGCCTAGATCACAAACAAACAGTCCATTCACCACTGATGTGACAGTTCAGCCTGCTGTTCACGGGACAAAAGTCATTTAAGATTCCTATATGTGCAGGATAATCAAAGTTCCTCTTCCCTTCAACACCTTTTTGGAATCTCCCATCCTGTGAGAGTCTGTGTATTGAATTTTATAAACTAGTAGAACAACTGAACTTCCTTCACACTTTTCTGGGGTTTAACTGGTTTCTCCCATGCTATCCACATCATTCCATCACAAATATGAATAGAAGGTCAATGAATGACAAAATAGCTCACATGGTCTATTTAAAGCCTTAAAGAGAAATGGTCCATGGATAGGAGAATTCAGCATTCAGGAAATGCTAAGCTAATAATTAGCAAGGCGAGGGGAGTCTAGAGATGAATCTAGCAAATAAGTAATCTCCCCCACTCCCTGCTATCAGATATCTCCAATATACTAAGTATAAAGTTGGCAATGAATCGTCAAAAATTTTTAATTAATTTGCTTGTTTCTGCCTCTGTTCATTCCATAAAGAACTGAAGACCTTATAAAAATACAGAGTATGAATGTATTAAATAAATAAATAAATATCTCAAAGAGGAATTACGGGCATGAAGACAAAAGGCAAAGGCAAGCCTAGTGATCAGAAATATATATCTTGTTGTCCTATAGAGTTACTACAGATCAAGTAGTTCTTGTTGAGTGGAACTCTTAGGAACATGTCAACTAAAAGCCTTTCCTACCTGTTGAGTGCTTTCAATCATTGCCAGGGCTTCAGCCATTAGCTTCTGGTTTATGCCACAAAGGTTGGCCACTTTTGCCTGGCATCTGTGATGTACATTCATTCCACATGCTGCAAGAAGAAAGCAACATAGTGAGCAAGAGTAACAACTGTCATGGCCTATGCATATGATCAGTTTTATGTATATATGTGTAGAAGGAATGATTGGCAAACTCCTAGACCCATCTTCCCATCAAAGGAGGACACTGGATAAAAATCATTTAGTCAGGAGGTGCGTTTATGATGCCACTTTGATAACTACCTCCTTTTCCTTGCAACACACACACACACACACACATACCATAGAGGTTTCCCAGAGTGATAATGGGAAACGGTTGTCTCTTGAGATAGAGCCAGTGTCTTGTTGTAAGGGTTTGTTCTCAATATAGGTTTGGACTGTACCATGACTGACAGGAAAAAAAAAAAAAAAAAATGGCATTGCCTTTCCCTGGTAGTAATCTGAAATGCTGGAATTGAAGAATTTTTTGCTCTCGATGGACAGATTGAAGCCCAAATATCCTCTGCTCAGCCTCCTTCCTTTCCCAACTAGACTTCAAGGAGTTTCCCTGTCCTCCAAGCAGAAGCTGAGGAGGCAGCTTAAGTCTGCAGAAGTGAAACAGAGTGGTGGTGCATTTGTGTGTGCTAAGGGGAGGGAGTAAAAGAAGGGACAGTAGCCTAAGGACCACCATCTCACCACATGCGAGAGGTGGAGTTACTAAGGTGAAAGGGACACAGGCAGGGACAGATATGAGCAGTGCATGGTCAGAGAGAGCCAAGTTAGTGAAGTCTCCTGAGAAAATGATTGAGAGGATGGGTGGAACCCAGTAAACTTCTGGGTCATAAACAGAGGATTTATACTTATTTCTAAAATTTATTTGAGGCTACTAAAGTGAATCATTTCTTTTTTTAACGTTTTGTTGTGATCTGGGTGAAAGTTTACAGAGAAAATTCATTTTCCATAGACAGTTCATGCACATTTTGTTTCATGACATTGACTGCAATTTTCACAATGTGACAGCTCTCTTCCCATTTCATCCCAGTATCTCCCCTGTGTCCTTCTTTCCTATGCATTCCTGCCCCCGAATTATCTCCCTGTGTAAATACTGCCCTTCTATTCTTCCATGATTCATTGTTCTAAGGAGTGTATCTACCTGGTATAGTCACCTATCTATCTATTGTTTGGCTGGAAGCCACGGGAGTTCAATTCCAGGCCTGAAGGGTAACTAAGGTCCATAGTCTTGGAGGGTCTCACCAGGTTCTATTAAATAAAGCAAATCATTTATGTGGAACAAAGAATTGCAGAAAAGGATGGACACATTTAAATATTGAGATTTTTTTTTTCCACTTTTCTCCTTACTCCTTGTAGATCTCATAAGGCAGTTTTATATATAAATAAAGGCCCATTTGACAGCCCACACTTGATGAGTATGGTATGTCCTGTCTCAGTATGACAATAGAACTTGTTGTTGTTGTTATTTGTCATTGAGTCAGACCTGACTCATAGCGATTCCTCCTTGGGTTTGCGAGGCAGTATCACTACGGAAGTAGATTGCCCAATCTTCCTTCTGAGGAGTGGCTGGTGGGTTTGAACTGCCAGCCTTCTGGTTAGCAGTCAAGTGCCTTAGCCACTATGCTAACAGAGCTCCTGACAATAGAACTTAGTGAGAATAAAAAAAAAATATCACTTTTGACCTCTTCTTCTTGTTCTTGTCTCCACTTCTATCACTACTCTTCCCTAACATGTCCTAATTGTCCTCAGGTCCATGAACATTTTTAATTTTATCAACAAATCCCCTTCTAAGATCAGACATTAAGGCACAAAGATGTCACTTTGAAGACTAAGGTACACCTGACCCAAGCCATGGTATTTTCAATAGCCTTGTATGCATGTGAAAGCTAGACAATGAATAAAGAAGACCAAAGAATTGATGCCTCTGAATTGTGGTGTTAGTGAAGAATACTTAAAATATCATGGACTGCCAGAAGAATGAACAAATATGTCCTAGAAGAAGTACAGTCAGAATGCTCCTTAGAAGCAAGAATAGCCAGATTTCATCTCATCTACTTTGGTCATGTTGTCAGAAGAGACCATTCCCTGCAGAAGGATATCATGCTTGGTAAAGTAGAGGGTCAGTGAAAAAGCAGAAGACCCTCAATGAGATGGATGCAGTGATGGTCTCAAGCATAGCAAGGACTGTGAAGATGGTGCAGGACTGGGCAATGTTTTGTTCTGTTGCACATAGGGTCACTATGAGTCAGAGCCAACTTGATGGCACCTAACAACAACAGCAAGAAGAGCTGTACAGAAAACATTACACCATATTTCTCATGTGCAATGCAGCAGCAAAGAGGAAGAAAAGTGAATGGAGATTGTTTTGTAGAAACAGGACATTATGTCTTAAGGAGGTCATATGATATGAAGACCCAGTTAAAAGCAAGCAATACAACCTCTCCAGAATAATTATTAAAATTTCTAATTGTGGCAGAAAAGTTTGTTGATGAATAATAATAATAATAATAATTTCTTCTTAAGTGGTGGTTTTCATTCCCTGTTCCCCTCCTCCTTCTTCCCAGGCAATCTCTTGTGGGAAGACAGGTTATGTTATTTCTGCCTCAGATATGTGAGTGGACTGAAACTTGAGGCCACCTGTTAGGTATCCTCAAGGGGAGGAAACTGGGCAGAGGCTTCTGAGATCACAGAGGGAAAGAGACAAGGAAAGGGAAGTGCCCCTTCAGCTCTCTTAGACTGGAAGTGGTGGGTGGGTTTAGGAGTGCAGGGACACTCTTTTCACTAGCATGCAATGTCAGGAGAGGTAGAGGGTATGGTGTACCTAGGGAGACACGACCCTAGGCATGGGATTCTAGCTTTGACCAAAAAAAAAAAAAAAAAGAATGAATCACAAAGCTGTACATGTGATGCAGAAACAGAAAGCAACAGGCTTTAAGGGACCACTGTAGACCTGGATGACAAGGATCTCAGTGGCAACCTGAAAACAGGGTATTAGAGGTCTTTATCCAGTTTTCAGGCACCTGTATATAAGCCTCTCAAAATCTTGTGTGATTATAAGAAGGGTTGTTGTTGTTGTTGAGTTGATTTTGACTTGTAGTAACCCCATATGACAGAGTAAAGCTGCCCCATAGGGTCACCTAGGCTTTACAGGAACAGATTGCCAGGTTTTTCTCCTGTGGAGCCACTGGGTAGGTTTGAACTGACAACCTTTTGGTGGGCAGCTGAGTATTTAAAATCATTGCACTACCAGGGAAGGCTCATTATAGAAATTTCCCCTGGCAAGATTGGGCTTTAGAGTCCCAACTAAGTTGATTTAAAGGTTATAAAAAAGGGAATATTTCTTATACATCTGAGTTGATGGCTTAAATTCCTATCTACTATATACTTATAAAAAAGAAGCTCAAAAAAGAACCAAAGTTTTCTTTCATTTCTTAAAATTATATGTTATGCTAGATTTTACCAAAGAAAAAGAATGAGGAGTGGGAAGTACCTGAGAGGAGCAAGTTTTTGAGGCCAGAGCATGGGAGTTGGAAGGAAGGAGACTTGGGTGGAGTGCTGGTCACAACTACCAAGCTCTCACGGACACTGCATGATCTTGAGCTGGTCCCGCACTCTCTATGGGCTTCAGTCTACAGATCCAGAGCACTGAGCTAAAGGATCCATGGGCTTCTAGCTTTCAGATTCTATGACTCACACGGGGGAGTATTCTGCTTCATCAGTCCTGAAAATGGCATGCTAAAGGACTAAGGGAGTCTCGGGTGGTGCAAATGACTAACTGAGCTACTAACTGAAAGGTTGGAGGTTTGAGTCCACTCAGAGGTGCCTCAGAAGAAAGAGCTGGTGATCTACTTCTGAAAATCAGCCACTGAAAGTCCTGTGGAGCACATTCTACTCTGATACACCTGGGGTCACCAGGCAGTGGAATTGACTCAATGGCAGCTTTTTTTTTTTTTTTTTTAAAGAACTAACTTCCACTTACTGTGCCCATCTGATCCTTCTGTATAGGGATGAATGTGTGTAATGTGTGTCTGTGCAAAGGACAATTATTCCATAATATTTTATCATTAATTTGATAAAAAATTATGAGATATTACATTACAATGAAAAAAAAGATCTAAGATGATTTCCAAACTCCAACTGACAAAATTGTAATCTCAAGTACTACCTGATTCAAAAAACCTACATAAATAATGATTATTCAAGTGGAACTAGGCAGCAGAAGCTATATACAATCATACAGTTATAATATTATATGCCTATTAGCACTTTCGTGTGAAAGGAACACAGTGTCTGAGATCAAGTAGGTACTCAACGAATACAATTTCTTTTTCATCTTTGTTATTTACTACATTGAAATGTGTACTAAAATACTTAGGTGAAATTTTAGCAGCCTTCCCCTTTAATTTAACTAGATTATTCTTTCTCAGTAATTCATAACAAAACAGTATTTTCTATGTCAATTAGTAAAATTCTTATCCTAATGTAGATGCGTAGATACTTTCACAAAAATCCACTTGAAATAAAATCTTTCATGTATATTAAAAACCTTTAACATAATTCACAATAGCCAAAATGTGAAAACAACCCAAGTACCCAATGACAGATAAATGGATAAACAAAATGTGATATGTCCATATAATGTAATATTATTCAGTCATAAAAAGAAATGAAGTTCTGATCCATACTATGACTTGGATGAACTTTGAAGACATTGTGCTGCATGAAATAAGCCAGATACAAAAAGATAAATATTGTATGATCCCACTTATATGAAATATCTAGACTGGGCAAAAGCATAGAGACCAAAGTACATTAGCACTTACCGAGGACTAGGAGGAGGGATAAACAGGGAGTAAAAAAAATAAGTCTTTAACATAATAAAGATGCTGCTTCTAATGGTGTTCCTTCTACCCTCTTGAATTCTGTGGTCATCAGCACAACTCACACTGGAGTTGTTTACGAAGCTGTAACATTTCCTTACTCATTATTGAAACACAAAGCAAGGCAGTCAGTGATGACTAGCACAACAGAATCGAGATCTTTCTTCCTCCTTAAAATTGTAGCCAGATCTGCGCTTGTCTCTGATACACAGTTGTGAGGAAAGCCACCATCCCTACTATGGTAATGTATTGTTGTTGTTCGTTGGGTGCCGTGGAGCTGATTTCAACTCATAACCACTCCATGTGGCAGAGAAGAACTGCCCCATAGGGTTTTCTTGGCTGTAATCTTTATGGAAGCAGATCACCAGGCCTTTTTCCCCTGGAGTGGGTTCAAATCTCTAACCTTTCCATAGCACTTAACAATTTGTGCCATCTCAGGTTTTTGTTACTAACCTATCACGTGATAGCTGGATCTCTCTGAATGCAAAATGTCCCTTTCGATTATTATTTTCATGGGGATTATATTGAAGAGCGAAGACAAGGTGAGAGCAAGAGAGGGCTCTACTTAAGAAGATGGTTTATGAGAAGACAAGATAAAAAATGAGAGTGTGGCAAAGAAGGGGGAGAAAGAGAACTAGAGAAGAGAATGAGAAGAAACAAGAGGTGAGGGCAAATGCATGTGGAGGTGAACAGAGCTGAGGAAACTAGGCAGGTGGTTGAGGAAGGAGGGAGCAAAAACAGAAATGAAATGGGGAAGGAAAGGGAGGGAAGGAAAAAGGGGAAAGAAAAGGGGACAAAAGAAAAAGGGAGGGAGCTATCAAAATGAAGGTCGTAGAAGAGAAGGGGGAAGAGAATGGAATGGGAAAGGAAGAATGTTAGGAAAAAAGAACAGAACAAAGCAGGGCCTATGAGCTGTGAAATAATGCCAAGGAATCTTCATGGAAGTTCTAAGCTGTAGAGGTAATCACACTGTCAGGATGAGCCTGACCTCAGCAAATGGGGGCCTGAGCTCCAGAAAAAGGAAATCATGAACAGTGAGACCAACACAGGACTCTCACCAGGTAAGAATTTGATTCCTGGTGTTTCTTTTTATATAAGTTGTGAAATTAAACTTTGCCTATAAACTCTCTATTATATACTAAATAATAAAATTGAAACCAAATCAGATGCCATGGAAGTCAACTCTGACTCATGGTGACCCCACATGTACCAGAGTAAAATGATGTTCCATAGAGTTTCTAATGGCTGATTTTTTTGGTTTGAGACCACCAGGCCTTTCTTCTGAGGTGCCTCTGGGTGGATTTGAAGCACCAACCTTTTGGTTAGTAGCCAGGCACTTAACCGTTTGTGTCACCCAGGGGTTCCTATACTATACAATACTGTGCCTATACTCATGTGCTAGGTGTTCTTGGACAAATGTATAGAGAAAAATGCAGAAGTGGTATTTTGGGGCTATGAAGGCATTGTGAAGGTTAATTTTGACTACATGTCATTTTTACCTTAGGTGATGATTTACTCCTCTAGCCTCCTTTAACATGTGGCTCCAGGTACCACCAGACATGTGAAAATAGTTGGAATGAGGAACAGGAGACTGCTTAAGATAATCCTCCACCTTAAGATACTGCTTAAGATAAGTCCACCACACCTATCACTTAAAAGATAAGATTTATAATAGTCTAATGGAAACAACCTGGGAGCTCCGGTGGCATAGTGCCTAAGGCACTTGACTACTAACCAGAAGGTTGGAGGTTCAAACCCACCAGCCACTCCTCAGAAGGAAGATTGGGCAATCTACTTCTGTAGTGATACTGCCTCACAAACCCAAGGAGGGGTCACTATGGGCAGAGACAAGAACTTGAAGGCACATAACAACAACACAACTACAATGGAAACAACCTAGGTGCCCATCAACAGAAGAATGGATAATCAAACTATGGTACATACACACAATGGGATCCTATGCAACACTAAAGAAGAATGGCAAATCTGCAAAACACTGCATAACATGGATGAGCTTGGAGGACATTATGCTGAATGAAATAAGTTAATCACAGAAGGACAAACACTGTCTTAGTTCATTATTGTGAAAAGTCAAGGAAAGGTTTATATATGGAAGGAAAATTTCTTTGTTGGTTACCAGGGGTGGGAGGGAAGGGAGGAAACTGCAAAAATAAAAATAAATAAATAAATAAAAATGGGAAAAAAAAAAGATTTACAATAGTTAGCAACATAAATTAAAATAGAACCTTGAAGAGAAAAGAAAATGACTTATATTTAATAATTAACTTTTTTAAAAAAGGTCTTTTCTGCAGGAGATGCCCTACTTTTATGAGTGTATTATATAGACCCCATCTCCAACCTTGTCCTCAATCCTTATGCAGAGATGCTTTGTCAGTTTTCTTTGACTGCTGGCTGACCAGAAGGCTGGTGGTTCAAACCAGCAGCCACTCCTCAGAAGGAAGGTTGGGCAATCTGCTTCTGTAGTGTGATACTGCCTTGGAAACCCAAGGAGGGGTGGGTCACTTTGAGTCAGATCCAACTTGACAGCAGTGAGTTTTTTTTTTAATTGTCTTAGCAACTTGAAGTGTTATATCAAGAAAATTGTTCTCTTTTTTCTTTTTTGAGCAGGGTAGGCCTGAATAACTCCATTGGTAAAGAATTTCAGGCTTGGGCTCTACTCTAATCCCTAGCCTTTGAGGAAAGATCGGAGAAGAGACATGATGTTCAGAGCTGGACATGGCCTTTTACTGGCCACTCTCAGTTCACAGTACTGTTTGGGACTATACTCTCAAAACTTAAGTCACAACAATAATTCCTCTGTGCAGGATCATCAACCAAGTCAATGTGCTGGCCTTGCTGCTTGGTGGGACTGAAAAAAAAGAATTTATCTGCTGGTGCGAGGGTAATGGCAGAGACATAACACAGCCAGATGTGCTAAAATTAAGAAGGGGGAGATCCAGAATGTACAGGAAACAGCAGGTCAGGGCAGAATTAAAAAGGATTCCAGTCTTGCACTTTTCCCCAAGGCTATGGTACAACAGGAGGCAATAGGCCAGGAGCCTTGACCTTATTAACCTGAACTTGTTTTCACTTTGCCTTTTCTGGGATGAAAGAGTGTTAGAGTATTGTGAGACAGAAGGAAAAAAACAGCAGTGGCTTATTGTTCCAGGAAGACCTTCTTCAAGATTATGGGGTTCGTCTCAGCTATTTATAGATACCTTTCAGCCTTTTCCCTGTGCAATCCATGAAGTTGTGAATATCCCCCTAGCATGGGTCTGTAATGGGGCCAACACCCATTTCACCTAACGTACACTCACCATCACACTTCTGTCCTTGTCTTGCCAGTCCCCACAGCAGAGTCCCACAGTGCTCACAGAAAGTCGGGCTCTTGTAATTGTAGACTTTAAATCGATGTGGCATGTCAATTTTGAACCGCTCCTTGTGAAACTGAAAGAAGGGGAGAACGTGTGATTATATACTATGTCCTTGGGTTCCCCACGTTTGATGTCTTAGCAGACACTTTAGCATAACTAACATTTAAAATAGTCAAGTCACTGGAGCCATGTGTATTTTAAATAATAACTCTTACTTGTCAAGGTTACACCTGTTACCATTACCCATTGCCTTTGTCTGTTGCTGTTGAGTCAATTCCAACTCCTATTGACCCTATAGGACAGAGTAGAACTGACCTGTAAGGTTTCCAAAGTTGTAATCTTTATGGAAGCATACTGCTACATCTTTCTCCCATGGAGGACCTAGTGGGTTTGAACTGCCAACCTTTTGCTTAGCAGCTGAGCACTTAACCACTTTGTCACCAAGAAAACCAAAAAACCAACTGTCATCAAGTTGATTCTAACTCATAGTGACCCCACAGGATTTCCAAGGCTGTAAATCTTTATAGAAGCATGCTGCCTCATCTTTCTCCCATGGAGTGGCTGGTGGGCCCAAAACACCGACCTTTTGGTTAGCAGTTGAATCCTTAGCCACTGCACTACCAAAGCCCCTTATTGTGTCACCAGTGGTCCTTGATTAGTTCTTGCCAAGTGTTATAGTCAGGTCCAAAGAAGGCAGACAGAATTAGCTCTTCCAGATAAGAGGCAAACTTGTGATGCACATGTATCAAGTAACCTGGAGACAGCTGAAGTCTGAGATATTAGTAAAGAAGGGCTAATGTTTCAGGAAGAGGGGACTAGGACTATTTATTTAAATGGAAGCTAAGTAAACATTGTACTTCCCTTTTCGCTGTAATATAAATATTTCCTTTCCTCTTTAAGCCCTGAACTAATGCTTTGACCTTGGGAAGATATTAAAGATTGCCTCCTCAAGAGGAAGTATTGCTATGAGTTTATTACTAGGAGAGCTTGATGCTCAAAGCACTTTCACACCTTTCATACATGAACTGAGGTGGCAACAGTTCTTGCCAGGTGCTGTGCAGAAAAATGTCACATGTACTATCTCATATGTATGTGATATCTCATATAATCCTCACACAACATCCCATTGGAAGTAGCCTCATTTAATCCTTGATTGACAGATGAGGAAATTAAACATAGAGAGAACAAGAAACTTGCCTAGAGCACACAGCAATTCAGTGAACTGGGTTTTCTATGAGCTTGGCTCTAATTTCTAAGAATTAGAGCCTGAACTCTCCAATTATTTCTCTCTCTCCATATAGAGTAAAACCTACAAAAGCTGGAACCTGTATAAAATGAAGGCTATCTGAGGGAAAACTCAAATATTTTCTACTAATAGAGTGATAGAAAAGTGGAAAGACTACATCCTGTTAAAGGGGAAAACCTCCACGGCCTGGAAAAATAAGGCAGTCCCATAGAGTTCTAGCTGTAACAGGTTTCACTGTATATCTATTGCCATCAAGTCAATTATGATTCTTGACGACCCCATGAGTAGAACTACTCCAGAGGGCTTCCTTGTCTTTGATCTTCACAGAAGCAGAGTGCCAGATCTTTTTCCTTTGGCACTGCAGGGTGGATCTGAATGGACAACTTTAGGTTAATAGTTTTTGCACCACCCAATTAGTTTAATCATTAACAAAGATGATGATTTGGGGGACAGGGAGATATGAGATGAGAGAGGAAAGCTAGTGGTAGAAATATAGTGGGATTTTTTTAAAAACAAACATGTTATTTTTAAATCAAACATCACATACATATATCTATTTAGCTTCTAATAAGTATACAAATATTTTTGTGCAGTATAAAAAGGTTAATTTAGTTAAGTCTATAATCTCTGTAGACATTTTAAAGTAAACATTTCATTTACATATGTGTACAGCAAAGAAGCTTTATTCACAAACATAATGTTCCTGCTGTGGATAATGGTCAATATTGGGTCTTTTAGGAACCTGTTGGCACAGTGGTTAAAAATGCTTGACTACTAACCTAGTAGTTGTTGGTTTGAGCAGAAAGATCTGGGGGTCTGCTTCCATAAAGATTTATATCCTTGGAAAACCTATGGAGCAGCTCTACTTTGTCCTACAAGGTTGCTATGAGTCAGAATTGACTTGACAATTACAATGACTTTGGTTTGTTTTAGGGTCTTTAGAATTGCTGTTTATAACTGAGTAATTTAAAAGCTGCTCAGCACCTACTTTAGTCATTTGTAGATAAGAAAAAAAAAAAATAATAATGATCAGAACCTATTTCATTTTCCACAGTGTAAATATGAACTATTATTATGCCAAGGTTGGGCAATCTACTTCCATAGTGATATCGCCTCGGAAACACAAGGAGGGGTCGCTATGAGTCGGGTCCGACTTGACAGCAAATAACAACAACAACAACAACACTATGCCAAGGTCCAGAAGAGAAGGCTTCCTCTTCTAATCTTGAACCTGGGCCCAAGAATTTCAAAGTCTGGCTAAAGAAGACTCCAGATCTGCACTTTCCAATAAATCAGCCACATAGCTACATAACCACACATGGCTGGTGCACACTTGAGAGGTGGTGAGTCAGAATGGAAGATCTTGCATGGGAAAAAAAAGAATGTAAAATATTTCAGTTTTTAACTACTGATACTACATTGAATAGAAAATATTTGGATATACTGGTTTAAATAAAATATATTTTAACATTAATTTGACATGTTCCTTATTTCTTTTATTTCATGTGACCATTACATTTTAAATTACATATGTGGCTCTCATTCTATTTTGCTTACTCTAGATGAAAGGGCACAAAAGGACTCCAGAGAAGACATCCCTTTGAGTGATCAAGAAATGAGAAGCTCTTCAGAGAACATAACATTACCACAAATATTCATTCATTTTACTCAGTTCCTGAATACTTTTCTTTGTGCCAGGGGTCCTGTTAGCTATCGAGGCTAACAGTAGTACACAATTTGTAATTTTTCTAGGAAAGCTGAAGGCATCAAGTAAAGGAGATAGAGAGCAGGTTGGGAGGTGGCAAGATAATTTAAATAGAAAACAACCACAACAATAAAACCGCTGGTCTCAGAGATGGAGATTTGAATTTTGGTCCCATCTCTGAGACATACAGCTGACTGAACTTGGACAATGTAGTTGAACTTCTTTGACACTTTGTAGGATCACTTGTAATATGTGATTATCCCTTTCTGGCTCTAAATTTTAGAATAAATTCTGCTCTGGATAAATTCAACCAATTTGCCTTCTCTGTTCCTGTACAAGAATCCTACTTCTTTTACTATCTCTTACTAACCTTGTAAAAATTCTTATATTTCCTTTGTGTTCTGTAGTCATTAGCACGTATTTATTCTTTAATGGTCACTTCTAGTTGGAGACGCTGCAAGGTTAGTTTTCATATAACTATCAAAACTGTGCTTTTGGCCCATTTTCTGTAATATATTTTTGGTAACAGTAGAGTTATTAAAATTCTTACTGTGTTTTGCTTATTCAATCCTTAGTTTGCTAAGTCAGTAGCAGTCATTACTGAAGAGGAAAGGGTTTTAGGGAGATAGATGTTTATTGATAAACTTAATGATTCAAGTTAAGGCATTATTAAAAACAATCAGTAGGCTGTAAAATTTAGAGTTAAGATAAAGTTATCATACTTCAGACAAAGAGAGAAATCTAAATACGCACCATGGTTTCTCGACTATTGATAGCTGATCCTGTGCACTTAGCTATAACTTTATCAATACACTTCTTGTGAATTGCTGCATTGCATTCTGAGAAGAAATAAATACAGCTTAAGATCTGCAGAAGTTTAGGGAACCACTAAATAAAAAGAACAATGAAACTATAATAAGAATCCTTCTTACTTACGTCGGCACTGGTAGCCCTGTTTGTTCAGACCCCTGCAATAGAACAAATAGATTTATTTGGCTGTTAGAGTCAACAGCAGCACCAAAGACATTTAAAAGACAAACAAGATCTCACAACTCTCTACTATCAAAGAGCATTTTCTGATCACCGGCCCTTGTGTATCATTTGCCAACATGGTGTTTTATTTCAAGCTGCTTTGTTAAAATTCTGAGAATTAAATAATGAGGAGCTGCTGATTTCCTTTTCCTTTGAGTGCTTTCCAAACAAATAATACAGAAATTAAAATGCCTGACAGAAAATGAAGCATGGATCTATGAGCAAATTTCCATGCCCTACATTTAAAAATGCATCGTCTCACTGAACTTACTATAGATGAACAATGCTATCTGTAAAATTTATTTTTTATCTTTTTCAATGTCTGGTAATATTTGCAACCAATAAAGTTCTAAGTTTAAGACAAATTCCTGAATACCAAACAAACAAACAAAAAATCCAAACTCACTGCTATCGAGAAAGGAAGGCATTTCAAGTAATTAGATAAAAACAGATAGATGAAAATTCACTAGAAGTCCATTTTATCTTTAGATGCCATGGGTAAGCATTAATAATTCTGTAGTAGCCCAAAGGGAAGAGCATCCTGTTAAGAGGCAAGGAATCCAGGAACTGAAAATAGGAGTCATTTTTAGTCTCCACTTTACCATAGCCTTTGCTACGTGGTTCCTGAGGCTTAACCCAATCTCTGTTTGAGAGATACCATCTCAGAACCCAAGGGGGGTTGCTATGAGTCAAATGTGACTTGATGGCAGTGAGTTCAGTTCAGTTTAAGATACCTTAGAGCTCTGTGAACAATTAAAATCCATCATTTCCAAGGGGAAAGTGCTGCCTATTGCAAAGGGTAGTACCAATAAAGTTGGTCTGTTGAGATGGTAGAAGTTTTTACTGCAAAACTGTACTTAAAATAAAGATGTCTTCCTCTTTTGTTCCTGCCCTCTCATCTCCAGCAGCCTTCCATTTAATCAGAAACTAAAGCTCTTTGACCCTTTCTTGGCTTTATTTTCTACAGAAGCCACAAATTGAAGAACTTTTATTGAATGACATCCTTTTAAGATTCCCAATCCAGGAGAGGTCCCTGAAAACTTTTCTGTAATACTCATTCCAGCACATTCCCTTAACATGGGCCATGCCAAGCCAGGCCAACGAAGAGAATGCAACAAAATGCATAACCTGAAACTTGAAGTGAAATGCCAAATTACTGTACCAGACAAACTCATGGCAAACGGAGCAAAAAGTGGGTTGTGGGAAAAAGGTGGCAGTGAACTCATGACACTTGACATGGTGGACTTTGGCCTGCTTGATGGCTCCTCGGCGGTGATGCAAAGCAAAGAAGCCTTCACTCTCTAATTCACTCATGTCCTTTGTGTCTGTAGGAAGAAAACAAGGAGCAAAGTGAGGTGTTAAATACGCCTGACACAAATGGTTGTGGAGGGTGATGAGGTGGTAAGCGACAGAGTGGGACAATGAACTGGGCAAGCATTGAGTACCTATAATAATAGTAGTCTAGGCATTTATTAAGGTTGGTAAAATACTAGGCTTCTTTCCTTAGTGCCATAATAAAGAGTTACCATGCAGTATATTATTATAGGATTGAAACAATGAAGTAGGATTATTGGCTCAACCTATTCCTCTTTACTTGGGCTGACTTGAGCTACCCTCTTTCAACTTCAAAACCAGAGAACAGAACTTTCACTATCAATGATGAATCTTATTCACTATCAACCTACTATCAATGATGAATCACCAAAAGAAAGAAGGAAGTGGCAAATAATTTCTGCTTGTAAAACTAGAGAATCATGTAGTTATTGATGCAACTTGGGAATTGCATTTTTTAGGTACCAGGATGCTTCAGACAGAGTACAGTAGACTGAAAGCAGCTAGCCAGACTTTTGTGTGAGGGTAAAGAATGCTGGAAAGGTGTTTATGCCTACCTCTTGATGCCCATACTAATCAAATGTACCAGATACAGGTTACACTGGTCAGGATACAAAAGCCAAGAAAATTAATAGGTCACTGCAACTTTTTAAATATCTAGGTTATACTGGAGGTTATCTAGTCATCCATATCAAACTATCATATTCACATTTACTCATATACTCTGGCTTTATAAAACTCTGAAAGGTGGTTTGGGTAGTCACTGTTGAAAGTGTCTTTATATCCAGATGACATCTTCCCCACAGGTTGAAAGATCTTAAGATTGTAGATTTTGAGAACACTTGACATGACCTGGCTGAGGCCCAGACCCAAGGAAAATACAAAATGGTGAAATAGTCATGACTACCAGAAGGCTGGTGGTTGAAACCCACTAGCCACTCCTCAGAAGGAAGGTTGGGCAATCTACTTCCGTAGTGATACTGCCTTGGAAACCCAAGAAGAGGTTACTATGAGTCAGGTCTGACTCAATGGCACATAACTACAACAACATTAACAAGATGAAAACTTTACTATGAGAGAGAAGAACATGGAAACAATAAACAAAAATAATTATCCTCACTAAAATAAGGATAATGAACTTAATTACTGTAATTCCTAGAATCATAATTTTTAATAGCTTGAAGGATTCTTGGATTATTTTATTTTATGAAATACAAAAAAAATGAGGTTTAGAGAGAATAAAGGGGCTCAGTATATTTTCACATATGAAGAGTTAACAATTACCATTTAAACTAAATTACTTCCATCTGGTTAGGCAGAGGCAGCGGTATGACAATGCACTTGTAGCAAATGTCTGTGCTAAGGATCCCTTATTTGCCATATCCCTAATTAGTGCCTGGGGTAGAAACACACCTGGGAAGACAAAAGTAGGGACATGCAGATGGAGACCTATCCCCCAGAAGACCTCTCCTCAAGCCACTCAGGACACAGTTTAGGACTAAAGTCTTCTCCATAGTGGTCCACAGGTCTGTTTTATGGCAATCCCATTCTCCCAGATAAAGAGCATTCCAATAACTATCTAAAGATTTCCATAGATAGGTCATTACCTGAGGTCAGGTCAACACTTTAAGGCTAGGTAACTCTGGTCTTTTTATTTAGAACTGGGCTGGAAATAAATAAGGCTGGGTGAATGAAGAGTCAAATTTAAGGTCACTGAGGTGAATGCCTTCTGTACAAATTCTGGTATAAGTGTGAAGATCTATTTAGGACTTCTGACTAATGTACTAATAAGATTTGATCCATCTATTATGGTCCTTATGAAATAGAGTATAAAATACTTTTAAATTCAGGGAATGCAAATGAATTATTTTGGTAACACTAATTGTGTGTGTGTGTGTGTGCACATGTATGTGTGTATATATGTCTTGTGTTTATGTATCCCCTTAATTTACTGTATGTACACACACACAGAAAACACACACATACATATAATCTGCATTAGATTTTCAGTACCTTTATTTGCTGATGTGGCACAATTCAAAATGAGAACAAACAGTGCAAACATTCAGTAATAAGTGGAATGTGGAATGTAAGAAGTATGAATCTAGGAAAATTGGAAGTTGTTGAAAATGAAATGGAATGTATGAATCAGTATCATAGACATTAGTGAGCTGAAATGGACTGGTAATTGGGCATTTTGAACTGGATAATTCTATGGTCTACAATGCTGAGAATTACAAATTGAAGAGGAATGGTGATTCATTCATGGCCAAAAAGAAAATTTCAAGATCTATCCTTAAGTGCAATGCTGTCAGTGATAGTATAAAATCCATATGCCTACAAGGAAGACCAGTTAATATGACTATTATTAAAATTATGAACCAACCGTTATGCCAAAGATAAAGAAATTAAAGATTTTTACCAACTTCTTCAGTCTGACATTGATCAAACAGGCAATCAAAATGCATTTATAATTACTGGTGTTTGGAATGTGAAAGATGGTAGCAAAGAAGGACTAGTAGTTGGAAAACATGGCCTTAGTGATAGAAATGACACTGGAGATAACATGATATAGTTCTGTAAGACCAATGACTTATGGCAAATACCTTTTTTCAACAACAAAAATGGCAACTATACACATGGACTTTGCTGGGTGGAATACACAGGAGTCATATTGTCTGTGGAAAGACATGGTGGAGAAGCTCAATATCATCAGACAGAACAAGGTCAGGGGCTGATTGCAGAACAGATCATCAACTGCACATATGCAAGTTCAAGTTGAAGCTGAAGAAAATTTAAACAAGTCCAAAGTATGACCTTGAGTATATCACACCTGAATTTAGAGACCATCTCAAGAATATATTTGATGCATTGACACCAGACAAGTTGTGGAATGACATAAAGGACATCATATATGAAGAAAGCAAAAGGTCATTAAAAAGACAAGAAAGAAAGAAAAGACCAAAAGGAATGTCATAAGAGACTCTGAAACTTGCTTTTGAACATAGAGTAGCTAAAGCGAATGAAGAAATGGTGATGTTAAAGAGATGAACAGAAGATTTCAAAGGGCAGCTCAAGAAGATAAAGTAAAATATTATGGTGAAATGTGCAAAGATTTGGCGTCAGAAAATTAAAAGTGAAGAACATGCTCAGGATTTCTCAAGCTCAAAGAATTGAAGAAAAAAAACTTAAGCCTCGGGTTGCGTTATTGAAACATTCTATGAGCAAGATATGGAATGATGCAGGAAGCATCAAGGGAAAAGGAATGAACAAAAAGTCATTTTTCAAAAAGAACTGGTCCAGGTTCAACCATTTCAGGAGGTAACATGTGATCAAGAATCAATAGTCTGAAGTAAGAAGTCCAGCTGCACTGAAGGCACTAGCAGAACAAGGCTCCAGGAATTGACAGAAAGCCCACTGAGATGTTTCAACTCTAGAAGTGCTCACTTGTCTATGCCAAGAAATTTGGAAGACAGCTACCTGGCCACCCGACTGGAAGAGAACCATATTTGTGCCCATTCCAAAGATGATCCAATAGAATGAAGAAATTATCAAGCGATATTATTAATATCACATAATAGTTTTTGCTGAAGATAATTCAAAAACGGTTGCAGCAGTACTTTGACAAGCAACTGCCAGAAATTCAAACTCAATTTGGAAGAGGACATAGAATGCGGGATATCATTCCAGATGTCAGATGAATCTTAGCTGAAAGCAGAGAATACCAGAAAGATGTGTACCTCTGTTTTATTTGTTTTCTTTTTTTTTAATTGTGATTTGGGTGAAAGTTTACAGAGCAAATTGGGTTTCCATTCAACAATCGATACACATTCTGTTTTGTGACATTTACTACACTTTTCACACTGTAACATTCTTCTCATTTCCTCCCTACACCTACCCCTTCCCTTCATCCTTCCTTCCCATCCTCTCTTGCCATCCTAGCTCTATCCTTGGGCAAATGCTGTCCTCTTGATTTCATATGCTTGATCGTCCTCATGAGTACATACTCTTCTGGTATCACTGTTAGCCTTGTAGGCCTGTTTTTCTTATGGCTGAAAGTTATGTCACAGAGTTAAGTTCAGTTCCTATCTTCAGAGGTGTCTAAGGGCCATAGTCTTGGGGGTTCTATCAGTCTTCATCATACTAATAAGCCTGGTCTTTTCATGATTTTGAGTTTTGTTCCACATTTTTCTCACTATTTCTGAGAACTCCTATTGTGATGCCTTTCAGAGCAGTGAGCAGTGGTAGCTGGGCACCATCTAGTTCTTCTGGTCTCAGTGTTGTGGAGGCTGGGGTTCATGTGATCTTTTAGTCTTCTGGACTAATTGTTGCCTTGCCTCTTTGATTTTATTCACTCTAGTCACTACTTACCAAAGTGGAATATAGGACACTGTCTTTGTGGACCTTAGTGTCTCCTCAAGACTATGGCCCTAATCCTCCATGCTCAGTGACTCATTCCCTTAAAATATTTCATTACAAGTAAGATGTTTTCATAACTTGTCCCCCCTGTATGCTCTACTACATTCAAAGATATATTTGCAGTATATAACCTCTGTCAAACCTATATATATTTGTGGATGGAGTCCCATTCTCCTTCCCACCCTTGTTCAAATTGAGTGTCTGGCTATGAATCCATTCACAAATTACTGTTATTACTATTATTGCAGGATTGTGTATGTAATATTATTCACCACTGTTAACCTTCAAATCTTGTGCTTCCCCTGTGTCTCCCACTGCCTTGACATTTTTTGAGCTGACCTCTGCCTTATTGTTATTGCATTTCCCTTCACCCAAGTTAATATGTGGGAGCTCTGGTGGCATAGTGCCTAAGTCATTTGACTGCTACTCAAAAGGCTAGAAGTTCAAACCCACCAGCTACTCCTTGGGAGGAAGACTGGGCAATCTACTTCCATAGAGATACCGCCTCAGAAACTTAAGGAAGGGTCCCTATGAGTTGGAATTGACTCAATGGCAGTGAGTTTGATTGTTTTTT